ATGAGAGTAGGAGCATCTATTCACTGGGTTGTCACTGGATCGAGGAGATGCTTCAGGTTAACACTGGCAAGCAATGTCCCCAGTTCTGGAAACTGCCTGCTACCCTTCAGTAAATGCTTGCAAGATGAATGAAGGGTCTACAATATAAGAATTTAATAAATATTAGGGGCCCCAAGCTGCCATTTATATCAGACACAATTATTTCCTGAAGCACTAAGAAAAAAATCTAAATGTTGCTAATGAAGCCACGACCCATTCCTTTTATATGACCTGGGACTGTTTTTTATTTACCCAAAGATCTCTTTTAGACTTATTAGGACTTACATTTTTAATCACAGATCATTACTAAGTTTACATTTTTAAAAAGTGGGGCAACTGGGAATGTAAGTCAATGATAGAGCACTTGCCTAGCATGCATGCACAAAGCCCTGGGTTCAATTCCCAGCTCTGAAAAATATATAAGTATATATTTTTAAAAAGAAAGAAAGAAAAGAAAACTATTAGGGAAATCCATAAGTTGAGGTGTTCCTTGAATATTTTCAAGGTCAGAGCCACCTCTCTGAATTGACATCCTCCTTCCACCCACACCCTTTTACCACCTCCCCCACTACCTGGTTTCTGCCTCACAGGTGAGCAGATCATTGTTCCTTCTAAGCAGTCCCCCACCCCTACCCCATGAGTTCTCACACCTCTTGGAGGACGTGCGCTCTCTGATGCTTCTCCTTAGGCTTCCTGGCTTTGCCCACCCAGGGTTTGTGTCCGGGAGGCTAGGGGTCATCAGGGTCCATTCCCAGAATGGCCTCCTTGGCAGTACAGGGGGCGTGGAGTAGCATGGAGCCCACAGTGTCTGATACCCTCATCCCCCACTGTCATAGGAACCCAGAGTTGAGAAATGGGCCATGCTATCTTAAAAGTGAGAAGTAGGAAAATTAAACTTTTGGAGTCATACAACTGAGCCACCTCCAGAAGGCAGGGGCAGGGGTCCGGAAGGGAAGGTTCTATCCTTAAGAGATCTCTGTCGGACCTTACAGCAAATAGGGCTGGGAGTGAGGATCCGCCAGGGTCCTGGGCAGGGGTCTCTCAGCATGCAGCCTCAGGTTTACTGGCCCTGTGATTTTGTCACCGTTTTGCCTCACCCACTGGCTGGGAATGAGGAGTCCGAGCTCCCTTTCCTGATAAGTGGGGCTGGGGCTTGTTGGAGAACTTTCCTGCAGCTCTGAGTTCCCCTCCTGCAGAGGCAGAGCTGCGGACCGGGCAGAAGCTGATTTTCTTGGGAACTAGGGACCTGGACAAGACTTGGGGTGGAGGTTCCTAGCAGGGGCTATCTCTCGACTTCATTCTCCTGCGGTGTTGCTTCTGGGGTAGGGACTCCCTGGTTTGTGGAAACGAAATCAGGCCGCAGGGCAAAGGTAAAGGGAGAAAGTGCCTGGTTTCTGCTGGCATCCCGGAGGTTGGGGACGGTGGCAAGACAATGGAACTGAGAGGTCAGCATTTTGGCCACTCCCAGCTGGCCTCAGTTTCCCGTGAACCCAGTAAGAGAGCGCCCTCCGGCTCCGGGAGACCTAAAACTCGGACTCAACCACCGGGTAACTTCGCCCGGGGCGCGTCCCCCACCCGCTTTTCTCCCACCTTATAAAGTTCCCACCAATGACCCTCCAGGGGAATCCAAAACTAGGAAAGGGAGAACAGAGCCCTAGAGGAGGGATCGGGTACCCGCGACGGCCCTGGCGGCGCTGGGGCCTTGCCTGGAGCTTGCAGCGGACCCGCTGTAGACCAGGTCCGCAGGAACAGGCCGTCGCTGGGCCGAGCTGAGTGCCACCTACAGCTCCAGGACCCTGGCTTCTCTTCCCTTCTACGGACCAGGAAAGAGACTTGCTTTTGGGCCAGGGACACCGAAAGTCGGGATGTGATCCAACACCCGCAACCCGGATCCTTCAGCCAGTTTTTCCCCAAAGTCTCCCTTACTGTCCAAACCACCTCGAATCCAGCACACCGAGGGCACACTTCGCGGCGTTGGGGAGCGCGGCCGGCAGCCAGGCTAATCCCAACCCTCCCACCGCCCCCGGTCCTTCCTTTCGGGAGGGTCCCGTAGGGGGCACGTGCTACCTCTTTGCCCTCGGGGCCCGGCTACGCAGGACGCCAGATCCCGCCCTTCCCCCAATCGCGGGCCGGGGGTGGGGGGAGTGGTGGACTCCGGGAAGCGCAGCAGCGACTTTGACCGCGGGTGCTGCCTCCGCGTTTTGTTTCCCAGGACCTTGGGGCGGAGTAGAGACTTGTGTGTCAAGAGTCCAGAAGGAACCGGAGCCAAGGGACCTTCTTTCCCCAAGCCGCTGTGCGCAGGAAGGGGGTCTCAGCACTTGGTGGCCGAGCCGGGTGGCCCGCAGGCCGGTCCCTGGGAGCTAGGGAAGACGGGATGCGGTCCTTTACCCCGAGTCTGGGCTTTGCGTCTGCTTCGCGCCTACGCTTCTCCCGGGAGTGACTTGAAGCTTCCATCGGGTCTCAGGAATTCGCCCAGCCAGGAAAGCCCCCAGCCGTCCAGATAGGACAGGCATTCAGCCCACTCTGGTTTCGGTCTCCGATCCATAGAATCAAGGAGCATAGGGACGCAGTCTGACGAAAACTCCCTCTTCCTACTCCCCCCTGCCCTAGAATCCGGACCCCCTTTTTTGAGGCCCAGCTTCCCCACTGACCGGCTGGTGACCTCAGGATCGGAGTTCTGGAGTCAGGTTCCCCATCTGTGCCTGGAAGGAGCTGTGCGCATTGAAGTGTTGGGGTCTTAGTGCTCTGTAGCCAGATTCCCCTTCTCCACCTCCTAGAGCTCGGGTGGGAGGAGGACTGATTGCTTGATCCAGGCCAGTGAGGGCTGCCCTGGGAAAAGCCTTAGATGCAGAGTGTAACTAATTTGTGTAACGCTGTATTCCTCAAATTTAGTAAAACTGCCAGAATCCTCAAGGAACTGTGATCAGTGGGGTCAGACACCCCCCCCCTTGCCCATCTTAAATCTTCTCTGGATTCCACCCTCTTCCTTCCACAATTCTGCAGAGTTGACAAAAACATAGCTGGAGTCTCAGTTCCCCTGGCCTCCTGGTGACAGAACTCCACATTCACTTTGCTCTCCTTTGAACTATCAAGGATTAAACTGGTCCTGAAAATCACCTGGTTGCCAGAGTCTGGTACGAGAAAGTTATTAAGCACTGATTGCTAGGTTGAACTGACCTGGATGTAACCTCAAGGGCCGGAAGGAATTAGGGGGCACAGTCACACATTGCTGATTCCTTCTTTCCAGGAAGCCAGGGTCCCACAGTCTTCCTTGGACCCCTGGGGAGGGGGAGTAGAGGCCTGGGCAAGTTGTCCAGGAGCTGTTTGCAAGGCTGACTTAAGAGCCCCGAGCCTGCAAGAGATCATTTCCCAGAGTTTTGGCAGAACTGGACACAGAATCCCCTACAGCCCTCAGAAAGCGTGGGCTCTCTTCTTTCTCAATCCTTTACAGCTCCAAGTTGGAGATTCTGGGAAAGAGAAGTCCAAGGACAGGTTCTAAGAAGGGATGGACTAGCAGATAAATGAAAAGGAAGCCATCATCGATGTAGGTCTGGGACATACCTGACCATTGCCACATTCTGAAACACAAAGCCTACAGCTCAATGAGTGTGAATATCCTGGACTCTTCCTCATATTTGGGCTTTGAAACCTGGTCCTACTGGGAAAGGCATGGCCAAGTTGTGTCACCTTCCTGAGCTTTAACCAGTAAAGTGGCCATCTTCCATTCCCACCCACTTATAATCACCTTAGGAGGCACAGGACAGAAACCCACATGTAAGCTTTGAGAACAGCCTAAATGGGTGAGACCTTTCCCGTGAGGAGGGGTGCCAGCGGGCACACGCTGCCAAGCTGTGCTCCTTAAAGCGTCTATCTGCCCCAACTGTGGGCTCGGACAAATAGTAGTCTTCTCTCGCTATCCATCAGGTGCCCTCACTGCACGGAGCCAAGTCTCCGCGGCCCAGACGCCACCCTGCTGCGTGTACAGCGGAAAATGTGCAAACAGGTTCGCCCTGCTGAAAGAACTCAAGTGCCTTCTGCAGCTGAAGGCTCTGGGGAACCTGAGCTTCTGGTTCGCTTCAAAATTGGGCTGATCAGGACCTTTTCAAGGACCACACAGTCGGTGGTCTTTCAAATCCCTGGAGACAGAACCAAAAACCTATGCAGCCCTGAACCTTGGGCATGAACCCATGGGGGACTGCTATTGGCGATGGGCCCCCAGGCTGGGAAGGAAGGAAAATGGAGTTCAACTGAGCCTTGGCGCCCAGAGTGAAAAGGATTGGTAGAATCCTGCAGCAGCCGAGCAGCCTTCCCTTCCTATCCTGTGTCTCAGGGAGCAGGGCACCCCTCACTTCCACTGAGCCAGAGAAAAGGATGTTCTAGAAGCGACTGCGAGTGCCTTTCTTATCTTGCCTAGACCTTCAGCCCCCGTGAATCGAGAAGGCCCCGCAACACACCCCACTGTGTCATAAAATATTTTATTGGAAAAAAAAAAAGTCACCGTCTTCGCAAGATGGGGGGGTAGGAGCCCCAGCGACGTCGGGGACCCGGCCTCAGGCCGAGCCGCTGAGTTATCCCGGCGCTGTCTCGGGCTCCGATGTCCTGCGCCCGGCCGCTGGGTCCCCGACGCGCGGAAGCGAGTGTGTGCCTGGCGGCGTCCAGGACCAGAGACGGGGTGAGGGTGTGGGCAAGGAGCGGGGCGTGAATGCACGTGGAGCGCACGGCGCCGCGGAGCTCCAAGGAAGACGAGTTGCTTCCGCGGCGATGGACGTCCCAAGTAAGGACCAGGAGCGCGCCGGGGCCTGGGTTTGGCTTCAGGGTCTCTGTCCTTCCTTGTTTGACCCCTGGTTGTCCGCATTCAAAGTAATAATAAAATGCTTAGAAAGCAAACGGTGGGGACGAGAAGGGACGGTCCGCAGGTTTCCGCGGACTCAGGTGGCCACTGCTTCTCTGGCTCCCTGGCTCCGCACTCTGCCGAGCTCAATCCTCGCGGCTCCTGTCGCTGGGCTCGCCTGGCACCTCCGCCGGCTTCTCCGCCTCCTTGGCGCGCTCCTGCTCTGAGAGTTGCTCGCTTGTGGGGATGGAGTTCTTCTTTGGCCGCCCCTTGGGCTTGGTAGGGGACTCCAGGCCGCCGCCCTGCAGTACCTACACGAAGGATGACCAGTACCTCGATGGGCGGGGAGGTGGACTGGGGACCCTTGTGCCCAGCACCCAGGGGTGACGGAAGGACCCAACCGGGTCATCAAGGACCGCTCCCCGCCCCTGGGAAACGGCAGCCATTTGAGAGCCGTTGGGAAGAGGCGTCCCCTAAGACTGCAGAGGGGTTCAAGGCCGCCAGCGGACCTGAGGGCTCCGCGGGACACCAAGGATTGTTGGCCCCCATAGGGCACCCAAAGAGGCAGAGGGTCCTCATATGCACCAGGTACGGAGGGAATTGGAAGGGTTGGGAAGAGTTCCTCGCGGAGCAGGGAGGAACAGTTCTTGCAGGGCACGGGGGCATGGCCCGGGAAACCGAGGGCCTACAGAGCTACCAGGCACACTCACTATTTTCTTCCACTTCATCCTCCGATTCTGATACCACGTCTTCACCTGCAACTGGCTCAGGCCCAAGGACTCGGCGAGATCTATTCTGGAAAGAGCAGGGCGCACCTTCAGCAGGGCAGATGGCCACCCTCCCACCGCCTACTGGCCCCAGCCTGGCCCCACACTACCTGTCGGGCGTGGAGAGGTACTTCTGCTTCTCGAAGCGTTTCTCCAGGCCCATCAGCTGCAGCTCGGTGAACACAGTGCGGCTCCGGCGCCCCTTCTTGGCTTTCGTGCTCGGCTCACCAGGGCCTGCGGCCTCCAGCTTCCCGCGGAGCTGCAGCTCCAGTGGCAGGTGCGGCGCACCCGCGGCGCCAGGCAACCCAGGCCCGGCGGCCAGCAGCGCTGAGCCCAACCCGGAACAGCCGAGCGGCGCCAGCGGGAACTTGAACACCGCCGCCTGCTCTGCCTTCAGCACTGCTGCAGGGAGAGAAGAGTGAGGAGCCCAGTGAGCTGCAGCTGCGCTTCTCTGCCTCGGGCATCGGCCGCACCAAGGGCCACGGGAGCTTCGGCACAGAGAATTGAACACGCAAAACCTCCACGCCTGGCTGCCTGGAGCAAGCATGCGAGCCACGCGCAAAGATTTGAACTAAGCGCAGAAGACAAGCCTCCTCAATGTTCTGTTCTCCAGAGTCTGGAAGAAAGGACCTCCCCAACCCGGTGCTCTGCTCCGGCATTCCCCATGCCCCAGCCGCCTCTGGATTTCAGCGTTCTCCAGAAACAAGTTCACAGGTCTGAGACGCATGCAGTGTCTCTTTCGTAAAAAAGGAAATTAAGAAGAGACCGGTGCGAATTAAGAAGGTGGGCGTCTTCCCGGGCCAAATCCGGCTTGCTGCGTTCGGAAAAAGAACCTAAAGGACTGTGCACGGTCACTCTCCTGTGCTCAACACAGCAGCCACACCGCGGGCTGTGGCCGTGCTGTCCTCTGGGATGGGGTCGGGCGCTTCCTAGAAATTCCAAAGCACCCTGTGAACACGAAATTTGTGTTCTTGTTTTTCTGTTCAGGCTCTTCCCCGTGAAGACGCTTGCATGTTCTCTAATCCTAAAATGTTTTTTTTTTTTCTTTTTGCCCGCTTCAAACGAACTACTAACAATACAACAGATAGAAGTGAAAGGCAGCCCAGACGCTGCGTCCCAAATTAACTTAGAACAAGCAAACTGGCTCTGCCGCCACGGGCGGGACAAGCTCAACCAAGAAGGGACAAAAGGAGTGCAGAAAAGGAGGTTGGTGGGGCTGGGGTCCCCCGCCAGGTTTAGTAGGCCTCCCTTCCCTTCAGGCTTCTCTGAGTCCGATCCTAGTCCCTTGGAAGTACGAAGGGGACCCAACAAGGTGCAAGTAGAGGTAAGGAGGAGGAGAGGGGAGAAGGGAAAAGGACTCTTTAGGGGGAAGTGGGAGAGGCAGATCTACACAACCGAGAGGATGAGGGAGGCCAAACGCTGAGCAGAGCGTAGATGAGAAAGGTTAAGAAGGGAATGGAGGTGGTGGAGAGGGCACTGCAGGCCAGGACAGGCACCCACCAAGAAAGAGATAGGGTGGGCAAAAACGGTTTGAGCAAGTGGTTCAAGTTCTGCCAAGACCCAGCCGACCTGGAAGTGGAAGGTCCAGCCCGGCAGCGGCTCACAGGCAGGCCTCTTGCTCACAGCAAGGCCCTACGGCAGCAGAGGCCTCATTGTCCCCAGCTGCAGCACTGGACTCCAGGATACCCTGGGACGACTTGGGCCAGTGTCTGTACCCAGCATTGGAAGCCGCGGGCCTCTTCTAGAGGTCCCAGCTACCCGGGTTTGGGTAGTCACAGGCTCCTCGTTGTCAGTTCTCCACGCCGAAGCCGAGAAACCCACGGTCTGAGGTCATTTTGACCCTCACTAATCCGCAGACCGGTCGTTCGCCCGAGATGGGAGTGCGGGTTCTGTTCCCGGGGCCCAGCTCCCTATCCTGTGCTGAAGGATGAAGAGCGGCCATGCAGCCAAAAGCAAATGCCCTCCCTGGCCTGTCCTTCGGGCACGAGGCCTGTTTCTACGGAGCCTGTTGCCCGCACTCTCCGCTTCCAGGCTGGAGCGCGCCTAGAAATCTGTCCCGGGGCCTGCGCGCTCAAAGCAATGTCCAGGGACGGTTCTGGGGCCCAGGTAAGAAGGGTAGGTTCTGGGCGCCGCCACGGCGTGGCTCTTACTCTCCCGCTAAGACCGGCCCACAGCCCCAAGGCCCCAAGGCCGCCGCACGTACCCAGGTGGCTGTGGAAGGGCCGCGCCGCCAGCAGCGCCTGCACGCCGAACTTGAGCAGCTCGCCCGCGGCGGCGGCGGCGGCTGCAGGCGCGGCGCCCTTGGGCCCGGGCGGTTCGGTGAGGATTTCCTCGATCATGAAGCTTCGGTAGCGGTGTGGCCGGTGATCTGCACAGCCCTCGGGCGGGCCGAAGCGCACGGCGCCCGGCTCCCCGGGCCGCTGCATCGCTGCGCCCGCGGATGCGCCCGCGGCTGGGCAGCGGCGGCGGCTGGGCTCGGGCGCGGGGCCCGCGCGGGGCTCTAGGCCGGCCCGCAGCTCCCGGCCGCGCGCGGGCGCCGGCTCATGCCCC